AAAATAAAAGGCAAAGTAAAATGTTCGACGAACCTAGACGTCTAAGCGACTGACTAATTCACCTAGAAGCCAAATCAATTAGTTGGAGCGCAAAGACTAAAATCGGAGTGACCGGCCACCGCGTAGCACCTAGGCGGGGACTAGTCGTGCACCTAGAGCGATTTTTAGAATAGTGATTAGAGCCAAATGTACATGAGGACTAAGTTGAGTCTATGTTGAATACCTGAGGACAAAATTTAGTGCAAAAGGAAACCAATGAGCAAATTGAGTGTTAGTGTATCGTAGAGAGGCCAAATCGGGTATTAACTCTAAATATGACTCATTTCATGGGCTGTATCCGGAACTTATCTACACATTCTTGTTTGCATTGAACACTACAAATCCAGTTTTCTTATTACTTGTAAATTTTCAGGAATAGGTGTGCACTTCTTGGTTGCTGTTTATGAGGGCTTCACACATGGTGTCTTTTCGATGAGGTTTTTTGGAAGATGATGTGTTGCGTAGCTTTTCTGACACATGTGGCATAGCTGAAGCTACTTCGGTCTGGTGTAGTGTTAAGTCTTAAGACACAACGTTTTATTTTATAACAACTGCATAGGTGGGAAGAGAGTTTAATCAATCCGTTGCTCATTTTATCATCCGATGGTGGCTTAGCATAGTTGTATCTTTAGTTATATACATTTGTCAGCAGAAAGGATTATGAACCCATCTTTCTTGGCGTTGGATTGAACATAGCATCAAATTTTGTGCTGTTAAGGATATCTGCATGTATGAATTCTATATAAAAGCCAGTAGGGCTATATAAAAGCCACATCTCCATTTACCAAAAAAAAATGTCGGTTGCATAACTCTACTAGAAACTTCTAGAACTCATTTGGTAATACCGAAAATGAAAAATGATTGAATTGGTTGAATTGATTGAATTTATTGAAATTTATGAAATTGAAACTGAAGTGGTTGAGTTGTTGCATCTGTTGAATTATGTTATTTAAAATACTTCGTTCTTTAATTCTTGGAACATTGTGATTTTTGCACTATTCACGGATCTTACTTTGACCACAATTTTTTACTAATATACATAATCATATTATTACGTATAAAATGTTATTGAATTCCTATCGATGTGAATTTCCAAAATATCAACTTTTTATAATGTTTACTTATACATAATTACATATAATTAGAGTCAAAGTTGTGCGTTGGTAATCATGAAAGTCAAATTGTTGCAAGAATTAAAGAACGGATGATAGTATATTTTATTAATAAAATTAAAAAAGTACATGAAAATGGCTAAAATTTTGGTCTACTGTAATTTCAGCTACTAAAGACAGAAAAGTAATTTTAATTTTACTTATTTTACAAATTATTCAATTCAGCGCGTGAAGTATAAAATTACGTATTTATTAAAAAAGTTGACTAATAAATTGAAAATAGAGGTTACCAAACTAACTCTTAATTTCATTATATTATACTCGGTAATAACTTTTTGAGACCAATATTTAAGTTAAAACACTATAAGTTAAAATTTGATTTTAACTGGTCTCAATAAGATAAAATTACATATTTTAAAATGACTTGACACAGAATGATGCAAAATCTATTACTCATGGATGTTTTGTTGTCAAACCGGAGTTATAATGATCAATGAAGGGACTAAAAACCACTATAAATAATTGGAATGTAAGTATTGAAGTCTCTAAATAAGAGTGACTCTTTCTAGTTTCTAATTTCTATCCTCCCATTTCCATATTTTAATAAGTAAATTATATTTTTATTCATAATAAAAACGTAAAACTAATTAATATTTTCATTTATAATAATAATAATGCAAAAAAAGGAATATAAGAAAATAAAAGTTAAAAAATAAAAAAATATTCAGGCTCATACCTTAGTCACCTACTGGTACAGACAGTTCCGAGTACTAGAAAAATGTCATCATTACGTTTTTAAAGAGTAATAATGACATTTTATGACATTTTATGACATCTTTACACAAGATGCCATTATTTATGGCAACCATAGGTGACGGAGACCACAGGAGAGCCCTTCATGTTTTTTATTTTTTGTAAGTTTTTAATTTATTTTTTATATGTTTTTATATTTCTTTTTTATTGTTTTACAATTCTATAATAAATTAAAACATTTTTTTTTATGTTTTTTTTACTCTATAAATTAAAAATGACTTTCCTATTAAGTTATGGCCGAATTAGAAGAAGAAAAGAGTACAAATAACTCCTACTTTGGGAATGTGAACATCAGTCATATTTTTACATTTTGGAATTAGTTTAGTTCTATGTATAGCATATATATATGTGTGTATATATATATATATATATATATATATATATATATATAGATCAAGTGAGAATGGTCTCTTAGAAGAGAAATGAGAATAAAATCTATCCATCAAATACTTGGAAGCAATGGCTATGATCAAATACAAATTAACGGTGGCATCACGTAATTATGTTGAACTTTGAATGTCTATTATTATCATACAAGGAACGGCTTTAGCTAAAAGGGGTAGAAGTGTAAAAGTAGTTGCCATTTAATTTGGATAATGAAGAACTATAGCTCGTTTCCATATAAATAGGATCTCTTCATTTAAAGCAATATGTACCACCTATTTATACGGACTGCTTTAGTGCTTTTTCCTTCAATAATTGCTTTATTTGTGTTTTTATTAAAAATTATAAATACAATCTAGGTAACCAGTTAAATTTCTCAACTACGTAGGTGCACTATTATTCATATTCATTTGCACATTTTGATTGTGGAGGTTGCACCGAGTGTTTTCAAATAAAAACTCACTTTAATTTTCTTATTAAGTTTTCTTTCTAAATTTAGTACTAATTCGGATGCATATCTAATTTGTCTTTCCACCTAGTTTTCTATTTTTGCACTTCAACGTTGAATAAATGCACATTTATTCGGAATATAATGCAACATTAATTTAATTAAATATTTAGATATTCTTTTATCTCAAGAGAAATGAGATGTTTATTGAGTTAGTTTACATTTTTATCAACTGCACTTTTATATACTTTGTTTGCACTTACATATATAAGGTTGTGCACAATTGCACATACATACATGGATGTAAACAAACATACATGGTTTAAATAAAATTGAATATAAATATACAAGAGTGTAAATTATCTGTCATCACATGCATTTATATTTATACGAAAGTGCACTAAAATGCACTCTTCTACAGAATAAAATGCACTTTTTATCGTGTGCATTTCAAATATATACAAAAGTGCACTAATAAATATTACAATTCCTAAAACTTCATATTCACACTTTTTAACAAATGAAATGCACTTTTCTTCCAAAATCATCATACTTGTTCCACTATGATGGTGTCATTTGTATCAGCAAATATAGAAGTAAAATTAAAAACTAATGAAAAGTGCATCAAAAATTAAGGTAAGTGAATAAGATGTCTAATAAAAAATTTATTGATATTATCTAAAAATGATATATGTCATGAAAGTGTTCCATAATAAAAATTTAAAATGCATTACGCATAATGTAGGTGCACTAATTATTAGTGCAAATCTACAAATTGTGCAACAATAACATGCAAAAGTGTAAGAACAAACATTGATTATTGCATCCAATTCAACTACTAGCATTTGAACATTTCTGAAATTATTAAATCCAGAACCATATCATCAACATAAAATTTAAACCACGCAGTATCAAGCCACAAATCTTTCGGAAGCAAATAAATCATCAATAAATTATAAATATAAATGAATTATAAGAAAAGTGGATTATACAAGAACTTGATTCGTAGAAAGAGATACATATTTCTTGTAGTGAAATTCAAAATAATATTAGCAACCAAATAATCTTAAGAAAATTTATACACATCATTGACAAATAATTATATAGAGACATGGGAGCATGAGAGATTTTACGAAGAAGATGAAGATTAAGAAAAAGATAGGGAAGAATCAAGATGAAGAACAGGCGGAAGAAGTTTTTCGGATATGTTGTTACGTTGAAATTCCTTGGCAAAGGCTATGGAGGAAAGAGAAAACAAATAAAAAGGTAAACAAAAGTGGGAGCAAATAATGAAGGAAAGCAATGAGCTTTCCATGTACATCACGTAACCATGGTGGTATGGGTTTGGAAAGAAAGCTAAGATGACCAAAGTAGCCTCCAACGAAAACATTAAAAGAATAATTAAAACACCTAATCTAACGGTTGTTATGCGTTCTTATTTCTCTCATTAGATTGTATTCTCACATGATCCCTACTCTCTCTCTCTCTCTCTATATATATATATATATAGGGAAGAGATCAAATAAAAAGAGGTTCTCCCGTGCAAAGTGCGAACGGTTGCACTTTTTCTTCATCGCGTTGCACTTTTGCGTGTTTTTCCTGCACTTTTTCTCAATGGCAAAAAACTTCGCTTTAATTACGAAATTGCCACCGCGTTTTTGATCAAATACAGTTCACTTTTGGCTCATTTTGAGCCATTAGATCTAAAAATGAATGCATGAGATTAATTCTTACTTTGCATGGGAGGACCTCTTTGTATTTGAACCATCCCCTATATATATATATATATATATATATATATATATATATATATATATATATATATATATATATATATATATATATATATATATATATATATATATATATATATATATATATATATATCACCAACTCTCTTTTCATGGAATGCTGGCGATAAATTATAGATTTCATTTTCATCTCATCTTTCTTCATCCTGTTTAACTCTACAAGACTACAACTACATTTTCTGTTAAACTCTCTAGCTACACCAATAGGGAAATCTTTCAAGAATCAAAAGGAATTTAAATTGTTTATCGCTCAAATCAACAACTTATTCATGTTGATTTAGAACTCAAATTGCTTATTGTTTATCACTCAAACCATTCTTTCAGTCATTTGCTGTAGGTAAGATGCAACACTACATGTAGGTCTGATTATCAACGCATTCAATTTTTGAGATTATAGGGATAAAATAGGGATTACAAATACTAATATTTGATCAGAGGCTGCAAATAGTAATTTGGAGGCTCTATTTAGAATTACCCTAATTGTATTCATTTTACAGCAAACACAAATATCTCAATCGTCATCAGTGCTGTACAAGGGGATTTATAGTTGTTCACTTTTATGTACATAAACGAATCAGCTACATACACTATGGAATTTACCCAGATATACATACACATCTAATAGTTACAATGTATACTCTCAGACCACTTAACTTGGTGTATCTGAAAAATTGACAGTCCGACTTGATCGATAGGTGACAACTGGACTTCCAGAACCATCCAAGTGGATCATAGCAACGTCTCCAGGCTTGGCATCCCCAGATAGCAACGATTCACTCACCCGATCTTCAATTATGTTAGTGACTGCCCTCCTAAGCGGGCGGGCTCCATAATGTTTGTCAAATCCTTGTTGGCAGATCAGCTCAGCTATGGCTTCTGAAACTTCCAACTCTATCCCCATGGAGGCAAGAAGCCTGGATTTCAATTCTCTCAACATAATATTCAATATCTCAAGCATCTGAAAATACAAGATAATGGTTGTTATAATCTTTGAGGATCATCATGTTAGATTGTTAGGTGATGCTCATCATATTTATATACGAATATGTGATAAAATCCTCACATTTAGACAATCCTTTTACGTAAAAACTATTTACGTAAATCATATCACCCTTCCTATAATTTCTAATAGATTTATTTTATTAATAAGAAAATCATAGTTTTATTTATAATAAAAATATAAAAATAATAAAATATTTATAAATTAATAATAAAAATGTGAAAAAATATACTACCTCCGCTCTTAAATAAACGCAACATGTTGAATTTTACACTATTCACATGTTCTACTTTGACTACATTTTATTGATTAATGAATTAATATATATTTTTGAAAATAATATCATTAAATTTGTCTCATTGTAAATTTTCAAAATCTAATCTTTTAATTTTTTTTAAGTCTGGATTGGAACTGGAATGGCCCCAATCCCGAACCGTCCCAGACTGTGCCACCCCCGTTACATAAGAGTGAGGTAAATCTTACCTATCGAAAATCCTCTTAGAATACGGTAAGCCCAAAGATAACACATCAAGACAGGAAGGTTAAGATGATGCCTCAAAACATACCTGAGGCTTTTCAAGAGCACGGAACACGACAACTTCATCTAATCTGTTTAATAATTCTGGTCGGAAGTATGCCTTCAGCTCTTCCATCACCATTGCTTTCATTCCAGAATACGAGGCAGATGCTGACTCATTATAATCTGCGATCAAGAAACCAATTGTGTTCTGTCTCCCCTTAATAATGGCGGTTGAACCAATATTAGAAGTCATGACTATCAGCGAATTCTTAAATGACACTCGTCGACCCTGTTAAAAAATGAATTTCGAGGATTATATGTAATAAATCACAGCATTGAGCATTAAAATATGCTGAAAAGGTGTATAATCATAAAAGAACCTGAGAATCTGTGAGGTGGCCATCTTCAAATAGCTGAAGGAGAAGATTGAATATATCAGGATGTGCCTTCTCTATCTCATCTAGTAGCACAACTGTGAAAGGTTTTCTTCTGATGGCTTCTGTCAATGTGCCTCCTTCTCCATAGCCAATATAACCAGGGGGTGACCCAATTAACTTGCTTATGGAATGACGCTCCATGTATTCGCTCATGTCCAATCTTAGCATGGCTGACTCCTACACCAAACACAATGAAAAGAATATTTGCAAATCAAATTCAATACAGATATTCTAGCATAATCCTAGGTATAGTCCATTATTTCCTGTAGAAACATCTGCAGCTCTCTAAGAATGGAACTATGGAAGTATTAAATTTATTATTAATGAAATCATTATATTTCATCCGTTCACTTTTACTCGTTCGATTAGTTTCATGTATATAGTATAACAAAGTCGAAAAAAATAGGATAAGTTGGAAAAAAAGTTGAAAAATGGGAAAAAGTAGCCAAAAACGGAAAGTGGCGCAAGTATAAGTGAACAAATCAAGTATCATTTTCTTTTTTCCCAAAATATTTGCTTCTGCCTATCTAGCTAGTAATAACTAATGTAAAAAAAAATGTACTAAGCATGCCCCAGAGAGTCTGTTATGTAATTATGTAAAATGCATATTGTATGAGCCATACCGATCCAAAATAAGTTGCCGCCAGTGCTTTAGCGAGTTCACTTTTACCAACTCCAGTAGGTCCACAGAACAGCATGGCAGCAATGGGCCTCTTTGGGTCCTTCAAGCCAACTCGGGACCGCTTAACAGCCCGATAAATGGCACTAATAGCTTCATCCTGACCAACAACCCTCTTTCTGAGTTGTTCATCAAGACTCATTAGAAGTATTCTCTCATCAACCCTCAGCTGTTGAAGAGGAATGCCCGACCAAAGTGAAGCTACAGAAGCTATTTCCTCAGGTCCAACCACACAAGATCTGATGGGAATCAAAGAAAAAATTATATATGACTTCAATTAAAAAATGTGATTACTGATTCATGCTCAGCTCTCTTACTCATCATCTTTAGCAGCTGAATTTATCGAATGTTCAGTTTTGAATTTATCATCCCCTTCCAAGTGAGATTCATAGTCATTTCCGCTGAGTTTATTTATCAGAATCTGTGGAAAACAAAAGGTAAACATGCTTTAAAAAGAAACAAGGTTAGTTATACCACAAATTAATTGTCAAACCACATGATTGTTCTACCATTTCATGCATTGCCCGAACAGATCTTATTTCTTGCCAGTATTCACTTGGTGATTTTGTAAGTATGGAAGTAAGTTGTCGCTTTTTCCTTTTATGAGCTTCCATTCGGGATCTGCTCCCAGCCTCATCAATAAGATCAATGGCTTTGTCTGGAAGATACCTATCAGGAATGTATCTAGCTGAAAGTTGCACAGCTGCTGTTATGGCCTCATATGTATATTTACATTTATGATGAGACTCATATTTCTCACGCAGCCCTAGCAGTATCTGAACAGCATCCTCCTGTGAAATATCCAAATGTCATATTCAGTGTCCAAATCATACATAACAATTTAAAGGCTTAAGGATGTTTTCTTTTGGACTGAAATTTGCTGGTCTGGTCTTGTCTGATATGGTCTGATCTAGTCTGGTCGGGTCTGAACTGGTCTGATAAACGTCTGGTCTCTGTGTATTTTATAACTACGGAAGTCTGGTCTGGGACTGAAAACAGTTCAAAAGAAAACATCCTAAATATGTTTTAGTCACTACAGACACTGCATAGCACCTGTTGGTTTACTTCCCTGCCAAGTACATTTTTGTTTCAATCCCTGCAATATGTGTTATTTCCTTTTTAGTCACCCATATTACTCCTCATTAAACTTTCTGTGTCAACTTCTTATAACTTTTTGGAGGCTATTAGTGGAGTTAAGGCTAAGCGGAATTAATCATTCACATGTTTAACATATATTGGTAAATAAAGTTTAAGTACTTTTAAGAAATGAATTGACGTGAAAAACAAGACAAAAATCATGTTAGTCATGTTTTTTATTGTTAAATGGATGTTACTAGAGAGTCAGGGCGGAACAAAATATAAGCACACAAACTAGAGGAATGAAAAGCAAAACAAAAACAATTGCAGTGACCTAAAACAAAAAATACCATATTCTCTGGGACCTAAAACAGCAGACTCTAAATTTGGAGGGACTAAATACATATCGAAAACAAACCTTATGTAATGAGTAATATAATAATATATTCACCTGGCTCGGTTCATGAATCATTACAGGCTGAAACCTGCGAGCAAGAGCTTTGTCCTTTTCAAAGTGTAATCTGTATTCATCCATAGTTGTGCATGCAATACACTGTGAAAGGAAAAACTTATGAACTTCCAGCAGAGGTGATTAATATTACAACTTTAACCATCTCGGCATCACAAAAATGTTACTGCTATTATATACTAACTCCGTCCCAAAAAAGAGTCATGTTTGAACCATGTACAACCTATGAAATTTGGTATGATATAACTTTCATAAATCAGGAGCCACATTTATTTATATAATTTTTTTCTAAAAGTGTATTAGTTGGTTTAACTAAACTAATTGGATGCAACTTGTATGTGACTGTTTTTTTGGCAATTCTTGACATATTAAAAGAAAAAATAGCTATGTTTGATTCAAACATGGCATTCTTTTGGGATGAAGGGAGCATGACTGAAGAGCAAGCAACATATAACAGTGCATGATCACCTGTAATTCACCACGCCCAAGTGGCGGCTTTAACAGATTAGCAATGTCAAGCCCAGAACCCTTACTTCCTCTCCCAACCGTGCCAGAACCAATTAGTGTATGGACCTCATCAATAAAAAGAATGATATTTCCTGAAATGCAGTCATATTAATGATAAGGCATCATCAATTTCTTCAACCCCAAAAATCAGTCAAAATGTTTCCTTACCTGAATTCTTAACCTCCTTAATTAATGTAGTCACACGAGCCTCCAATTCACCCCTCTCCTTCGCACCAGCTATCAATAAACCAATGTCCAAAGACATAATACACTTTTTCTGTGCATTAAAAACAATTATTTCAAATGAAGTTTGACTCAAGCAACTATTGAAAACAAAATGAATATAGATAAGCAACCAAGGCTCCAAACTTCTTCAGAAAATATGCAGGATGAATGAAGACTTCATAAATGAAAACCCCACCAACAAGAATGGAGGAACGTTCCCTTCTGCGATATTTATTGCCAATCCTTCAGCAATAGCTGTTTTCCCAACCCCAGCCTGGCCAAGAAGAATTGGATTGTTTTTTGTTCTTCGGCAGAGTATTTGAACAACTCTGTGGATTTCAGTGCCTCGGCCAATTACAGGATCGATGAGTCCTTGGCTAGCACGAACAGATAGATTCACACAGAATTGTTCCAGAGCATGTTTCTCTGCATGGAAGGCTTGGAGTTATTTCCATAACATTGCCAAACAGTAAGGCAGTTTCAAATGAGAGAAATGTTGACCCATACCTCTTGTTTTCTCACCAGATCTGTCAATAGTCAATTTCCCAGATAGTGGTTTGTCACGTGATCTTTTGAGTGAAGCAATTGGCTCTCTACCGTCCTTGGCAAGCTCCCCTTGAAGCCGGGAGACTGCAACAGCTGCCAAATGATTTGCATTTGCCCCTAATCTGAAATCATGTCAGTCCAGAACCCATAGTGGAAACATACTCAATTGTGATGTAAAATAAGATGGCCAGAGAGGTTCACAGCACCTAAATGCGGGAGAAAGAAAATGATATCTATTTTGAACTTCTTTATATTATTAGACTGGAAATGGGAATTAAGAAACTGAAAGTAAAGCGTAAAAAATGTTGCAGAGAGTACCCCTTGAATCTTATGTATTTTTACTACTGTTAGAAGTTGTACGTGTATTGTGTATATTCAAGAGCTTTTTGTACTCAAAGTATCAAGTTTAATCATTTCAAATTCGCTATTTCAACATAGGATTAGAGCGTGTTAATTGTCTAATTGAGGCCTGATATCTTTCATCATGAATGAACAGCACACATGGTTCATTTTTATGCCTTCTCTCACCAAGCTCATACAATAAATCATAGAAGGGAACTCCAGAGGCTTTAACTATCTTACCACTACCCACCCCCTCACACGCCATTTCAAGGCTGGTATTACAAATGCAACACACATCCATGCACCTGCGTGCAAGCAATTCTCTAGTGGTTTTTCTGGCAAAAAAATCCAGTTTTACTCATTCCTCTCCAGTGACATTTCTGTTAATTTTAACTTTTTTCAAACAAGTGGCAACTATAACAGAAAGTGAGATATCAAATAGTACTCCAAGTTTATGTTTTAAACCTGTCAGGCAGCCAAGTTATCACCAATGGAAAAAAAGTTAGGTCCCAAGATTATCAGATTGGGCCACTGCTGGGGAACTATGGTTTATGGGATAAGAGGGTTTTGATCATCTAACCAGAAGATTCTGAAATTCAACATGAAAGGAGAATTTGGGAAAGGGTTCAGATTACTGTGGTAGTCCTTTTCATGTGATTTAGTTCCAATGTTTTGGCCTTTTAGTACTTGCTTTTTGGTACGGAAACAGGCACAATCACTTTATACAATGATACCTCTGTTTCTACTCTCATGTAAGTAGGATGTTAAGTTCCAAAAGTAAGATATGTTTTTGGAAGGGAAGATTCAAAGACTTTTACCAGAATTCAATTCATTAATGCTTGTTGGAGGAACACCTGAGGAGCGACCATCCAAGGAGACAAATTATTTGTTATTCTCTCACTAGTGAAACTACAGATAAATTTTAAACAGGCCCGCAAAGGAATAAAGGATCTGCGCCAGCGCCCAATAAATGTTAAAGAGAATTCATAAAGTCAGTTGTGTCTGCAAGGAGACTATCCAAATGTCAAACTTCTTATAGGACATAGGAGCATCTATTTGATACAGGAAGATATTGATGGTTAACTGATAGGGATGCTGGAATTCAGCCCGGTATCAATAATAGTGTTGACTATTATGACCAGGTGTATTCAAGAAGGAGAAAGCAGAATATTAAATAATTATATGTTGTAATCAGGGGATTGGGGGAATTACTATAAATAGGCAACTATTGTAATAAGAGTTAGGCTGGTTTTGGCTTTTGTTTGGGCTGGGACTTGGAGAGAGGCATCTCTTAAAACTGCCAGACATTATTCTCTCTCTTGTTTGTTATACGATCACCTCCCATTACTGTTCATCTATCATTGTCTTCCATTTCCGTTGCTAGATTACTATATCGAAGGACTGATTCCTATCATTAACTGGCAAGATCTGTAACCTGATAAGATATTTTCTTTCTAACTGTGGTAAGTCAATTTCTACAAGAACCTTTCAGATTCATTCATGCATCCGTCAGAATTCTAAGATACATAGAGATCTCCAAGTACAGGCTTGTTGTAAAAAAATATTGGACATACAAAAATTGTAGGTTCTAGAGATGAGGATTGAGCTGGATGTCCTTAAATTCAAGATCAATAATAGGATATTCTATTCAATGCGAAAGGAATCCTATATCTTGTGAAAGTAGGAAACAGGTGTTGTGGTTGTACTATCAAGTGTAGAGTCAAAATATCGAGCAGTGGCATTTGGAACACGTGAACTGATTCGGGTTAAGCACCTTTCTGGCACGTTCCGACTTCCGACATTGTAGGTTATAGAGATGCGGATTGAGCTGGATGTCCTTAAATTGAAGATCAATAATAGGATATTCTATTCAATGTGAAAGGAATCATATATCTTGTGAAAGTAGGAAACAGGTGTTGTGGTTGTACTATCAAGTGTAGAGTCAAAATATCGAGCAGTGGCATTTGGAACACGTGAATTGATTCGGGTTAAGCACCTTTCTGGCACGTTCCGACATTGTATCTAATTCTGTCTTTCATGAATGGACTTAACATCATGAATTTTATTGTCACTTTATATGGCAAAAGTTGCATCTGGAGCCCTGAGGCACCATAACTACATTCATCATGTCATTGGATCCCAATCATGTGGGATCCAGATGATGGGTGATGTTCAGCAGACTTAGGATTGGATATATTTGTAGCACTAGCGTTTGCTCGCACAAGGCGCGAGACCTTTTGCCCAATATAATGTAATGTTCTTTTTCATAAATAATTATTACATGCGACATGGTTTGGAGGTTCTCTAAATAGTTATATGAGAGATTGTTAATGAAATACAAAAAAGTGATTACTTTTTCTTTTTTAAAAAATATGACTAACCCTTTGTTTAATTAATTCAATTTTGTTCTCATTGTAATTCATATTCAATCTCTGCCCCAGACCCAGCCCACACCCTCGTAGCCTTTGCTGCCGGGACATTCCATTACAAGCCGCTGCCATAAAGCGCAGTCCGAAAGTTTTGATGGTATTTATTTGGTTTTTCTATTTTTTTAAATTCACCAGAAGAAGTCATCAGAAAGTTTTTTGGTGATCATGGTGACATGTTAAACGGTTGCATTGACATCTGTGATCGCTATAGTGACAACTGATGTAACTTTCACTAGCATAAAAATCTGATTGTGACACAAAAATCTGATGATAATAATAATCTGATAATAATATCATATTTCTCCAAATTTATTATCTTGTTAATCAATTTTATTTATATGTAAAAGTAGTCACTCTTTTGGAAATGAGTTTCAATTTAGCCAAATTGAAAGAAAACCCGGAAAAACCAACAAGCTTAGTGTGGATTTGGAACGGACCTTTGTCGTGGATTTATAGAGACTATGTATATGTATTTGGTAGGAATTTTGACACAAATTTGTCAGAGATCCGTGACTTCGTGCCAAATCTGTGATAAAATTTATGCCGAAGTTGCAACCAAACATATGTTTCAATTTGTGTCAAATTCTGTCAATTTGTGTCAATTCCCTAACATTTTTTTTTGTAATGATACCGGGGTTTCATTTGGATATAAAAAAACTTTAACAACAAATTTGGTGAATTCAATTGGACATAGATACTCTAAAAATCTTCTTAATCTAAGTGAATCCAAGTACACACATAAAAAAAGTTATTTAAATAATTATGTTAATTCAAAGTATGCATAAAAAGTTTATCTCGATAAGCATATTAAAATTTTAATATCAATAATAATAAAAACTAACATCTGAAAACTCTCACTCTTTCAAATATGAGTTACGTAATTGAAGTAATTTAGAAGTTCTATGTAGTAAATTGAGTTTCTCTAAAAGACTAAGTTCTTGTCATAAATTATTAAAAATAAGGTAAACACAAAATTATGTTAAACACAAGGTTCACTGTTTAATAAATCCACTAAAAAGTTAGATATTTTATGAAACATTCATTTCGATACATTCATTCAGATACTCGTGTATGCTATTTTCATGAATTTAGGGTCAACGGTGTAGTGATATCATTTAAATAACTTAAAAATTCCTTTAAAAAATAACTTACAAATGAAATAAAGAGGAATCACAAATCATAGTGACGAGTTGAACGTAGACTTCAACTGCTGTTATCGTGGCTAACGGATGTGAAGGATACTTTTGACCATATAAAATTACAACACATTAATTTAATAAAAGAGTACAAGTATTAATGCATATAAGAGAAGGACACAATATAGGGGTACTAACCGGTATTCATAGTTATAATGTTTTTAGATGTTTTGAACCTTTTATTTGTATCATTGATCTTGAATTTTGAGGGGTGCGAAATACCTTAAGTTTTTCCCCTTCCCTAACGGCTATTGATTATTATATACTCCTTTATTGTTCCATGCCTAACTTCATTAAGCATAGCCTTACATTATTCCCAAGTGTTTATTGCTATTAGATATTATAACTATATATAGGGGAGCTTTTGTGATTTGTACTCAACGAGTAAAGTTTTACTATCACTCATTCTCTTTTTAACATTACCTGACCCCATTTGATTGTGTCGTTAAACATGCAGGCCTGCATCTCTACTGTGAGTCTTCTGTATACATGGGCTTTAGCCCAATGCAATTGTGTACTTCTGTTGATCTACCCGCAGCCAATCAGTTCTAACCTCAAGTGTCTTAAAACATCTAAGAACTTCTACCAGAGTACCACTAACAGCATACCTATAATAAGCACTAAATTTAGCTCAAGAATTATTTCATCCCAAAGTCCCATTCATAGGCTCCATATAGATTCACTGTATAAACTTCAAAAATTACTTGTGTATAATTTTATATGGATTCACTGTAAAAATCAGCTCAGTTGGGAGTACCTCATGATTGATAGTGTAACCATGGTTTTAAATTGTGGTTGCACGCGGTCAGGGCCGGCTTTAGCCTTTCGGAGGCCCTAGGCGGAAAAACATTTATGAATCATCTATAGTCAAAATTTTATTTACCCATCATATGACAATACCTACATATTCATATAAAATAGAAAATCCACAAACAATTTTATCAAAAAGCTTGTTTTGTGACCCTGTTTTTCAATTTATCAACCAACTTTTTCATCAAACACGTAATTTTTAATTTCATGTGTTGTATACTTGTATTGTGTAATAATCAAAATAAGTAAGATTGAAATGATTTTTCTAGTTGCATTAGCTGGTCTTACTGTAGAGTATCATTTTACCTATTTTTTCATATAACTTTTTCTTTATTTTATTAATAAAAATATCAAAAATTTATTTTTTCATAAATTAGCAGAATTAGTCGATTCAGGGAGTGTTTGGAACTGATTTTGCTTCTGCTTCTTTTTTAAAGCAGAAGCAGAATCAGAATCAGTTTTCAGAATCTGGTCACCCTCAGCTTCTAAAAAACTGATTCTGGGAGTAAATTAGAGCACCAGAATCACTTCTGCATTTCCACCCAAACACTCCTTCAGGGAGCAGAAGCAGTTTTAAGAATCAGATCCAACACCCCCTCAGTCATTTCAGCCAGAACTTCATAAATTTGAATAGAATCAACTGATTTAGTCATTTAATGTTACCAAATGCGCTCTAAGTAAAATGAAAAAATAAATCTTAATAAAACACATAAAAAGATGTGAAGCATATTAATAATACATTATATAAAGTAACATTTATTATTAACAAAAAGTGCATATAAATTAAACTTAGGGAAAATGGAAACTAATAATCCAACCTTTTAGCGGTCTTCTTACAATAATCCAACCTTTTGGTTATTCATGAATAATCCAACCTTTGCACCTCATCTTCATTCACTGGTCCCTGGCCGGTTGATGACCTGCTATTCCAAGTTATTTTCTTATATTTGCAAATCATTATACCATAAATCTCATCTTTCACAAAGGTAATATTTTGCAAAGATAAGAAAATAACTTGGAATAGTAGATCATTAACCGACCAGGGACCAATGAATGAAGATGAGGTGCAAAGGTTGGATTATTCATGAATAATCAAAAGGTGGGATTATTGAAAGAAGACCGCTAAAAGGTTGGATTATTAGTTTCCATTTTCCCTTAAACTTATACAATGACAAAGTCACAAAAAGTACTCCGTAATACTACGGAAATTAAAGTAGGTAATAGAGGCAATGTGAATGGGTCATTAACTCTTCACCCATACGGATTATTCATTTATTCGATTGCCCTTAAATGGAAGGCTGAAATTGAATGGTGGAATTATGAATTCCAAATGGCCGGATAAGAGCAGCTGAACCGAAGAAGCAAATTTGAGGCCCCTAAACTAAGCGAGGCCCTAGGCAGATGCCTGGTCTCACTGCCCTATAGCCGGCTCTGCACGCGGTCACTGCAGTCGCGGCTATTGCGACTGATGCGATGAGTATTGCAGCCGATGCAGCAATATTGGTGCGGCCTGATGCGACTTGATGCGGCCCATATGTGTTTACATTGCGGTTGTGTTGTGGTTATGTTGCAGTTTTTCCCATAAATTCAAAAAACACTGCTATTACGGTGTGATGTAGTTGCGCTTTGGGCTGCAACCGCAATATTGCGGCTGCAACACGTCTTGCAGTCCTCAATTTAAAACCATGAGTGTAACTATGGGAAATCCTAAAAATTTCCCAAACAATTAAATTTCACTAGTTCATGAACACATAAAATCTAACTAACTACCTATTAAATATTCACAAGGATGAGTCATACATACACAAAATATGTATCGTACATGAACCTCTTTCCAAACTACTACTTTTATCCTGCCACATGTTTCACCAAGTTGCAATTTTTTTATATTCCAGTAAGGTAAAACTATTGAAATTCATCAATTCTACCTAAGAAATTAATTTAATTTTTAGTTTAACTAAACTTAACATACTTTACTTATTTGGGACACTAGTACTTGAAAAAGATGCATTAAATAAAGTGAAAAATAGCTTCTACTTGTGACATACTCGGTATGAATTTTTGAGGACAAATATGTTATCAAACTCAGCTCTTTTTTGGGTTGTAAGGAGCATTAAATAAGTCACTATATTTGCAAATATGATATACCTCTTGAGAACACGACCAGCATTGCCATCATCAACCATGAATAGGCCAATTGCAATATGCTCGGGAGCTATAAAATTATACCCCAGAGTCCTTGAATACTCCACAGCAGCCTCAAACACACGCTTAGAAATAGTAGAAAACGCCACATCTGTGGCTGAAGTAACTGAACCAGAATCTCCATATCCAATCTTCACATTCTCACCATCTTTACCATGACTCCAAATGCTCAGAACAGCTTCGCGGGCCTTGTCAATGGTGATGCCCGAACCAAGAAACCCTCCGGGCCCACGATCCTCGGCAATAAGTCCTAACAAAATATGCTCAGTGAAGACCATGCCCTTTCCCAAAGCCTTCGCTTCCCTCTGAGAGAAAACCACTGCTTTGATTGCCCTCTCGGTAAATTTATCGAACGCCCCGGAGATAATAATCAGAGATCGCTTTACTTTCTGGGGAACCGAGCTGCAGGGAAGCTGCAAAACCGAGGTTCCAAAGAGGGACGAGGAAGAGACGCTAGCGCTGAATGAGGCTGCTGGGGTAGCCTGGGGTGGAGAAGAAGGGAAATTTGAGAAAAGAGTGCCCACATACTTTGTTTTTCTGCGACAGTAAAATGAATCACGACAACTAAACGGAGGAAACGAGCTGGAGACAGAGGATTTAACCGAAAATGGCGAAGAACATGATAACTCCATTGAATAATTCCTGAAAGGAGCCTAAGACAGGATACAAACTTGAATGGATAGACAGATGGAAATCAATTTTTCCCTCTTTTTTACTCTTGCTGGTTTCACTGCCAGAGTCTGTTTATCCCTCTTCTCTCCCTCTCCTCTCCTCTTCTCTCCCTCTCCTCTCCTCTTCTCTTCTCTCCCTCTCCTCTCCTCTCCTCTTCTCTCCCTCTCCTCTCCTCTCCTCTTCTCTCCCTCTCCTCTCCTCTCCTCTCCTCTTCTCTTCTCTCCCTCTCCTCTCCTCTCCTCTTCTCTCGCTTTCCCCTCCTTTCCAGCGCCCTCTCCTTGTAAGTTGTGAAGCTTATGAGTGTATGGATATAAATGAAAAAAATGTGATTATTTGCTGGAGAAGGAATGTATATGCGAAGACAATACGTCAAAGGCACATAAGGGTAAAGAAAAGAACAAATAAAAAGTTGATAAGTCACAAATTGATTTTCAAATTTGACATTTCTTGGTCAAATAGTTTTGTTTTGTTCGTTTAATTAGGATGTTAATTTTTAATTATATTCTAATTTAGTGTTCACAATTTTGAAGAGATTTAAATGTAATTTATGAATATTTAAATTTTAATAATTAAAAATTGAGTTAATTATCCATAAAGAGGATTGACTTTTATTATTGGTTGACCAAAAAATGTTGACTTTGCAAAACAAATTGGGACGAAGAGAGTACTATCTACGGAGTAATACGTGAGAAAATTGTCCATAAGACTCTTTCATAGACTTTTGACCAAAATAAGACCAAATTAGATTAATTACATCCGTAAGCCTAAATCACTCCTACTTATAGAAACTTAAATTCTACTTTCCTAAAATACCCCTGAGTTTATATTCCTTTCAGTGTTTATCTTTTTAGGTAACGAACTAACCGCCATCGTCCTTAAGAAACGCAGCTCAAGCTTCCCACCGCCAACGTCCTTATGGACTTCTATCGCCTACCTTGCTTCACAAATTCGAGTTCGATTTCCATCAATTCCGAGTGATAATCTTCATTCCTGCTGCGAATTTATTGCGTAATTTGGACTCAGTTTGATCGGAATTTGCCAGCCATTCCTGCTGCGAATTTATGTTGTAAGTTTGTATGATGTGTTCGAATTTTCATTCTGATTACATATTTTAGTTCGCTATCTTGGATGTTTACTTTGTTTATGAATTCTGTCATTAAATTTTCTTCATAATCTAAAATGATTTTTTTCTGAAATTATCTCTATAACACTTCGAATTTTTTCTTTGTGTTATCACTTTTGTATGTTGTACTTCGTCATTCTTCTGCATCAATAGGTTTTGATCTTCAATATTTTGATCTTCTGCATCAATAGGTACTAATTATGGTTTTGTGTTTGGTGTCTTCGAATTTTACTTTTCTTCGAATTTCGTGATTCAGTTTTCTTCACACTCTACTATTATGTTTTTCTGCAAATTTCTCTACAATACTTCAAAACTATGTCTACCTGCTATCACTTTTGTATACTGAACTTGGAGATTCTTCTGCATCAATAGCTTTTGAAGTTCATAATACATCTGGGTGTGTGTATTACTTGTTCTGTTTTATGTTCTTATTACATTGTGTATAATTTGTATTACTATTTTGCTGATGCTTTTTTATTTGTTGTTTTGCAATTATTTGTTCATACATAAGCACCTTATACATGTATCTATTTTTGTAATCACATAGTGACATATTCTGTAATGATTTATGCTTTTTATTTGAACTGATTTTTCTGTTATTACTCAGATCAAAACAAAATGTTGATTATGCTAAAGGTGGATGGTAGTTGGGAGGATTCACATGTTTTCTATAATAAAAGAACTTGTGGTCTCATAGTTCCAGATGAGACATTGTATATTCCTTTTGTCAATTTGGTTTATTCATGCATTGGTGCATTTGCTGCGAATGAACGACTCAAGATTAGTTATTTGGTTGAAGAATGACCTCCTCCAGTTGTTGTTAATGATGATTATAGTTTGTGCTTTTACTTGGCTCTTAAAAAATCAGAACCTGATTATGCCAAGTATCCTTTGTGTGTTGAGTTGTTTCCTTTGTCCTCTTGCCCACTTCTCTACGCAAGTTCTCGCATTTGATTTGAATGTGTTTGCAAATGATGAATTTGAGCATGTTGAGGACCTTTCTGCCGTTCAACATCGCATTTTTGATGTTCCATCTGCTCAAACTGAAGATATTTCTTTTGATATGTATGGTACCAATGCTGGTTTTGCACTTCACTCTAATGATGCAAATTCATTACCTACATTAGTTTCTGGTTCTAGCAATGACGTTTCTTCACCTACATCTTCAGATGTTGAAGTCCTTGCGGTTAATGAGCATTTTGATTTAGACTCTTTTTGTGATTTTCGAGATATCCAAGTAATTTTTCACTTTCATCCTACTCGTATTGCTTTCAAGTCTATCTACCAGGACAAGATATCATTATCCCATCATTTGAAGATGTATGCCATTTTAAATCTTTTCCAATACACGACAAGGACATCAACTAAAAAATTCTTGCATGTTGTTGGTGTTGATGAGGAGAATTGTGATTGGGTTGTACATGCAGTGAGGTTGGATGGATCTGAAATGTTTCAAATAAGAAGGTAATTTATTCATTTGTGTTACTCAAGTGCAACTTTAAAATCTGTTGTTGTACTGTTTTTCACTTATTGTCTATTTACTGTCTCTTTAATGACTATTTACTGTTGTACAATTTCTCGGGTTTGATTCTGTGCATACATGCTCACTGGATGTGAGGCAAGGTCCCCACCGCCAAGCTACCACAGAAATAATTGCTGAACTCATCAAACACTGGTACGCTGATGCATCTAGGAAACCTTATGCTCCAAAAGATATTATTGTTGATTTAAGTAGAGATTATGGTTTGACTATACCGTATAAGAAAGCCTCGCTTGCAAACAAGAAAGCTCAAGAGAAGTTGATGGGTTCAGATAAGCAGTCATATCAATTGTTACCCTCCATTGCTTATGTTCTTAACAAGAAACATCATGGTTCATTGATTTTGTTAGATGTTGGTGTGCATAATCGATTTAAGTCCTTCTTCATGTCATTGGATGCTTGGATTCAAGGCTGGAAACATTGTTTCCAGTTCTTATTATTGATGGTTCATTTATGAAAGCGTATTACAAGGGTACATTATTGATTGCATGTGCTCAAGATGGTAACAACCAGATCTTCCCTTTGGCGTTTGGTGTGGTTGATACTAAGCGAAGAAAAACATGGACGTGTTTTTTTATGAAATTGAAGGAGTGTCTTGCGTATAGGGAGAACTTGTATATTGTTTCAGATCGTCATGATGGTATTATACATGCAGTAAAAGTGGTGTTTCCGCATGCTAAACTCGGCTACTATGCGTACCATATCTTAGGAAATATTAGATCAAAGTTCAAGGGCTCTACTACAGGTCTTGCATGGAAGTATAATCAGGCTGTTAGGGCTGCCACTCCTACTTAGTTTGAAGAGTATAAGCTTCGTTAGATGCAGAAGATCCTCGTATCCGTGATTATTTGGATGAAATAGGTCTTCAGAAATGGGCTCGTTGTTTTTGTACTCGTTCTAGGTATTCTTTGATGACATCAAACAACACTGAGTCAGTGAATTCAGTGGACCGTGTGTCCCATGAGTATCCTATAGCAAAACTGATAGATTTTTTGCGTGGAAGGATGCAAAAATGGTTTTGTGAACGTCGTGATGCGTCATCAACTTGTAAAACAATTATGTCTGCCCATTTTGAGTCTCAACTTCGTTGTTATCATGCCGAGGCAGCTCTTATGACTGTAAGTGTATTACCTTTTAGGTTCTATGACATTGTTCTTATCATCTTTTACACATATGTTATAAGGTGTCCCTACTGTTAGTATTTTTATGTTGTTTTAGGTGAATCCTACTGGTCAATATGAATTCGAGGTGGTGGACAGAACATCTAGAAGCTTCGTTGTTAATTTGAAAGACAAGACATGCTCATGTTGTGAATTTCAACTTGATCAGTTTATATGTGTACATGGAGTTGCAGTTGTAGGCCATCGACGAGGTTTATCGTGTTACGACTACATCTCTAAGTATTACTTCACACGAGAGTGGGTTGCTGCTTGTAAATGGGAAGTTCACCCTCTTGGTTCTCGCTATGATTGGGGTGTTCATGCTTCAGTGGCGTCTGAAATCTACAAGCCACCTACATGCTTGACACGCCAACCCGGAAGACCTAAAAAGAAGCACATTCCTTCAACGGGAGAGTTTGGTTCCCGACAACGGTGTTCACGGTGTAAGAAAGGAGGACACAATAAGAAGTCTTACACAAATCCTATCTCATCCCGTGCACTTTAGTTTTATAGTTTTCTATGATTTTTTTTATTTCCTATAGTAATAATTGTAAGACTTATATTGCTTTTATTCATCACTATTGTTAGCTGCCATGGTTTGTTGGCTTTGGACTCTATGTTCATTGGAATGGTATTTTGGAGTTTGATTGTATGTATTGTTGTTATTCGTACTCACTTTATTGGTTGTTAAAAAGCGAGCAAGTTTATGGATGAAATTATGGTCTACTTACATACTGATTAATGTCTATTAGAAGACCTTAATTATAGTCTTTGTTAGTTGAGCATTTGACATTGTCATCTATAATGGTCTCTTATGATTTGTCCTCCTTTTTGAATGAAATCACACACCTTACTTTTGCATGTACACTAAAGTTATACCATCCGAGTTCCCTTTTTCCTACTTGGTAATCTAAACATATCTCACTATTATATTAATTTAATGTACAACACACACACCTTTCATATTTATATGTTGAAACACCTTTATGAATAATACCAACTATCAAAATACATTTTCTACGTTTATTGACTTTATGTTCATATCAATTGCAAAAAAAACATTATATTCGGAAAAAACATTAATTATATTCATACTCATATCATGTGAAAAAAACATTATATTATACCTTAAAATGATAATTATATTATCACATTAGTTCAGCAGTTTAATTTATTAAGTTTGACATTTGCTTTACTTAATACGTTTCAATTAGTTGTTGTACTTAATTTGGTTGGACAACTTTAATGTCTACGCATTTTCATTAATGACTAATTAATGTCTAATCATGCACTTCAATCCTCATTTCAACCGTTATAATACTTGAACTGAATATGAAATAAAACATGAACAACATTTGATATGACACCCAAAAAACATCAAATAAAACATGAAAAAGCATTTCAAATCAAATGTTATCAACATTTAAGAACAAGTATTAATGACCAAACGGTGGAAGCTTTA